ATATATATAAGGAATTATGGAGGTTTCCGATATTTTGTGTAATGCAAGTTTTCTCTAGACAAAATTAGTTCAGTCATTTAGATACATAACTAAACATAACTAAATGTTGAGTACTGTCAACTGATTGTTTTATTTTAATTATTGCCAACTAAATTTTTTGGGATCATGCTTGGAGTAAAACAAAACAAAAAATCCTGAGAAACTCACCTCTAAAATGAGGTATAACAAGCCATGGTAGTACATCGGTCAGATGGGAAGAAGTCGGTTAGATGGGCCGATAGCATATACTGTATTTAAAAACGACCCAATAGTTTTACTGTAGTACCAGATCAAGCCCTTTTTACTAAATTGTGATATGTCTTGTGTAATTCCTTTACTTTTCACACTTGGGACCCAGAATATGTAGTTGTTTCATTTGCATTATACGAAGAAGAACTGGGACAGGGCTTGCATTTCCATCTTTGTTCAGTTCTAATCCTTCGCAGTAATACATAAAAAGTATCAAATCTATGTCAATGTTAACATGCAGAGGACGCTGCCTCTAAACAGTTAAATTGTTGCTTTAAAGGACAAACATTACACTAAATAATCATTCTGGAGCTTTTCACCATGTTACATTGTTCCCTCATCCTCGTAAACATTTTCACTGCCCGAATTGTGAAAATGCTTTTTAAACCTGATAAGCAATGGGAGATCCTCAGACGAATAGTGAGATCCTGATTCCGCCCTTTAAAACAAAATTGTTTTCTCCAAATTATGTCAATTTCTTCGGTTAAATTCAATCAACAACCGCACCACGTTAGTTTTAGATCCAACTCAGGCAGCATTGAATTCCAATTTTCACTGCAAGATATGATTGTCGATTGGTTTATTCATATATTTATCTGTTTGCAATTTTTTTCACACAAGGTATTTGTGTTACTGCATGTTTGTATGGTTTTTGGGAAAAGAGGTGAAATGAATAGAAATGACGCATCATTTTTGTTCAAATCACAACAAATGTAACGCCATCCATCCAACTACTTCCTCCTTCAAAACAGGTTCCGTCTCTCGTTTTCACATTTATGTATTTTTTACCTCTTTTATATCATTTGATCAGATTTTCAGACAGAAAGATGAAAAAACCCTCACTCGACCAATCGGCACTAATCCTGAAGCGTCAAATATCGACTCACAGGGCTCTGTTGTCACATGTTTTCGATTAAGAAGAAGTCAGCATGCTGTGGTCTGATTGGTGCACAACATTATACTTTGAAAATGTATTTCAAAATGTGTTTATGAAAAAAGTTAGGCACCCTAGCTTTAAGATAACTTGTTTCAAGAATTGTAGCAAAATTAATAACAGCCAATTTAAAAAATATATATATGTATGCATTATTTTGGTCCAGCAAAGGGATTGCCCTATTGGTGGCTTCTTATCATGAATCAATTTCACAGACTCTAATATTGATGAGTCAATGGAAAATGTGTTCAACATTTAAAACCAAACATCATCATTTGCTTTCATCCAGGGTTTGTGATCAGATTGTTCAATCCAACCGTACAGGTGAAACTCTGAATTTAGAGTTCACCTTTACTTTTAATAAACAAGAAAATAGATTCTGGTTCAGAAACAGTTCTCTTGGTAATTAAACCTAAAATGTGAAACCTGAATATGATACAGACACGTTAGAAGCAACGAGACCCATGCCAGGCCTGTGTTTGTTATTATTCTGATGATTATGGTTTAAAGCATGGTTTGAAACTATCATACAAGACATTAAAATCATGAATAATCTCAGTACATTAAAACTAGTGTTGCGCGTCAACGAGTTCAAAAGAACGCGTTCATTGAACACGCTCATTTCGAGAACGTTGAACTGAACGCAACACATTTTTTAATAAAGAACTTGAACGTAAATTAGTTCACATTATGTGTCATGAACGACAGACATCACTCTAAATTAATGTTGGAATTTGTTTTCCATTGAAAACTCATGATGTGACATCTGTTTTCTCTATTTAAACGCAACAAGAGAAAGTTCCTCCCTCCTGTATTCTCGCTGGTGCCGCTTAAATCATGTATCACCAGACAGAAATGGTTTTGACATTGTGTGCGCGATGCATTGTGTGCGCGATGCATTGCGGGCAACGTAGTGTCCGGCGGAGAAGATCCATCCATCCATCCATCCTGACCTGTAGGGGGCGAATGAGCAGAGATGGGACATCTCAGTTTTGTTTCTTGCACTAAGTATAGAACTCACCTGGTCTACCTTGTCTGCTAAGAAACCCACAATTGCAGTGTCATGAGCAAATGTCTAAAATCAGCAGCTTCAAAGAACGTATACTGATTTCTAGCTCGTAATGTCTCACGAAAAAAGTAAAATTAACTGAACTTTGAACTAGTTCAGAATTAAAATTGTGAACTTTGAGCATGTGTGACCTAAACTTGAACTAGTTCAGAAAAGCTGTGAACTGGCACAACACTGATGACCCTTCAGTTGATTTGAACATTGTCAAAGGATAATTTTTTATTTTCATAAAGACTGTTCCAGATTTTAGCTGCATACATTTTAAATGCAACCGCTCAGTGCTATATAAAACCGATATTATTATGATTATAAATGGCAGATTTTTATTTTTTTCCAATACACCCCTTTATTTGCACCGATTTCTGTTTGACATTGGAGGTGCATAAAGGCATATAATTCTGCACGCCAGCTCTTTTTTTTTCTCCACACCGAGTACATGATGTGCCGTCCACGCAGATTAACCTAGATGTTCTTGAGGCCGGGTTCACTTGTATTGGCTCTGCACTCGTATATTACAATGCAGCTGAGGTGGCAGTGGCAGTAACTCATTCTTTTCCATTCTATTCCGCCTCTGCATATCCCGCCAAGCCCCCGCGCTGCTCCGCACTTAGAAGGTCACCTCTTTCATCAGCTATTCTATTTGCATTCCAAACCGTACGTACATGAAAAATGTGCTCGTGAGTTTTTCGCACCCCCGTTTTTTTTTTTTTTTTCGAAGGCAGATTAGATAGAATTTGCCGTACCAACCTCATGCACGCTAACCTTTGCAGATGGCCTCACTATTGTGGAGAAATGGATTGCCTAATAAACCATATCATCCGACATATTTGCCGCTTGGCTGACCAAATAGAGGCTGTGTTTTTTGAGCAAATTCCCTTTGTCAAATTTGTCAGTGTTCATGCTGCCGTTTAAGGTTTGGGTCAGAGAGAGGAGGAGGCGGGATCCAGGGTGTAGCGGGCTTAAAGTACTCGCCAATTTGGAGCATTTTTCGGGAAGATGAGACTATTTTTCCACAAGATTTATTTCATCGCTAAGGAGATTTCTGCTCCTTTGTTTGTTGCATGTCTGATAGTTTCCAGCTGTATTCATCATTCACCACAAGGACGCTGTTCGGCTAACGAAGATGGACAATTGTGGATTTTGTTTTTGAGCGCAGGCGAATCAAGTGATCGTTTATGCGTGGGCAGTTTTATTCTAAGAGGGTCCATCACTGTATGGCGATACCTGAGCGTACTTATTACTTTCAATTATAATATAGTCTTAAGTTTATGCCTCATCAAGCAAATCAAATCTTATATTGTTTTTCTATTTTGACATTAGATGAAAGTGCATAGGTTCCCAAATGTCTCAGCTACTGTATCATCCCAGGACACGCACCTCTAAATGGAAATGTTTGTTAAAGCTGGGGTATCTAATTTTCAAAACACAGAAAATGATCTTTGGAGCAAAAGCACTGATTAGTTCGTCACACTGAAAACAGCTTTGTTATATCAATAGTTTTCGCCATGCATGTATTTTTGTCACAGCTTATCATCAGTCTTTCTTACAAGTGTCATATGATAACTTTTCATAAGATAACACATGTTGAGGTATTATTTCTTCACAAAATGATTGTTATTTATATTGTTGGAACAAAAACAATATATACAGTATATATACAGTATATAACAACTGAAAATACGACTTGTATTCCAGGTTCTTCAAAGTAGCACCTTTTGCTCTGATTACTGCTTCGCACACTCTTGGCATTCTCTTGATGAGCTCCAAGAGGTAGTGACCTAAAATGGTCTTCCATCAGTCTTGAAGGAGTTCCCAGAGATGTTTAGCACTTGTTGGCCCTTTCGCCTTCACTCTGCGGTCCCGCTCACCCCAAAACTATCTCGATTGGTTTCAGGTCCGGTGACTATAGAGGCCCGGTCATTTGCCATGACAATACACCATAAAATGCATTACTAAACACATTTTAAAACTTGATTTCATTAAAAAATTAAATACTGAAGAAGGAAAGTACATGGACGAAAGAGTAATGCCTTTAGCACAGTACAAGTACTGGATGAGGGGTGTTGGGTCAGAGAGTGCTTGTGTCCGTGCGTGTTGTTTTCTATTTGTTTTTCTTTTCTTTTGGATGATTTTCTTCTAAGTCACATTAACTGCGTGGAGTGGGTGAGGCTCTGCTTCATCCAACCCATTTTCAAAAGTGCAGAGTACATCTTGGATTTACCACCCACCCTGTGCGCTGAGGTCTGAGAGCCAGCTCCACAAGACTTAGAAACCCAGAGGGACAGGGCCTTCTCTGTGGCTGGTCCAAAGCTAAAGCTAAAATCATAGCCCTTCTTCAAATGAACTAATCCAACTTGTGTAAATTGACAACATCTACAATCTATATTTATTATGTCAGTAGTCCATGTACCTGTGTTAGAAGTACAATTACTCTAATCGACTATTTCTTTAGTTTCAGTCTGACCCTGTATAAAAGATTGCCCAATTTTTCTCTAACCATACCTCAAATCCCTGAATTGTGTTCCAATCCAGCACTCTTTCTCCTGCCATTCATTCCCATCATTACCGCCATCATTCCCCTTCACCTATAATTACCATAGGGAGCGCGTGGAAACAATGCTATACCGCTAAAGCTCTCCACAAATCTAATTTCACAGCAAGACCCTAATTCATCGCTCCCAGAAAAACCTCTTTCATCAAACTTTGCATATGAGCAGCCAAGTGATGCACGGGCTCTTAACGGCATGCTTTGGCTCCTTTGGTGAATCGGCCAACCAATCCATCTTGTTGAGTGTGCTCGGAGCTGCGGAGTGGGCAAGAGCTGCTCCCGTCACTGGGCTCCGGTGGGAGATGGATTGCGGCTGCGTCCGCCACCACGGCTCCGGTACCGGCCCAAGCAACGCAATCTGGACCCCGCGAGAGTTTAGGGAGCGAGGGTTGGGCGTGTGGGTGTGTGGCTGATGGTTGTCAATGAATCTGCCAATATGGGGGTTTTTAATTTGATGGACTATACAACTGCTTATAAATTTCATTTTCCTGGGGCAGACTAACGGGGAGGCAAATAATCGGTGCCATCAGCCTCTCCAACCACCTCCGATCATTCGCCCACACCTGACTCACAATCGGCAATGTGGGTAAAGTGTCTTGCCTATGGACACAATGATAGTGTAGAACTTGACAGCCGCTCCAATTGCACCCGTTGTTCTCAGAGATCTCCCATCACAGAACTAACCAAACCCCGTCCTGCTTAGCACATAATCGTCACTCAGATAACAGAAAATTGAACTATTGCACTAAGTCAACATACAGTTTTCAAAGGAGTAACGTTCTAAAAATAACCTTGAGCTAAACATTACAGGGCACAAAAGTTTTGATTTCAAATCAAAGTAACTGTCATGTTTTACTAGCGGTGATAAGATGTTGTGTATGATGTTATTGGAGTATACACGCGGTACATGAGAAGCATGCTCTAAGAAGCACACAAAATTGTATATAAAAACAAACAATAAGGCCGCAAAAGGTGAACTGGGTTATAATGAGGGGCCCTGTACAGTATGTAATAATCTAGTAGCCAGAATGAGACTGAGTAAGATTGAGATGACTTTATCCTTCCAATTAATTTGAAACCATCAGAATAAAATACTAATAAGGAGCAAACATGGTGGGGCCCAGATAGATAAATGGAAGGGCACAAATTCATGTTACCCATCAAGTACAAAGAGTAACAAAGTTCACAGTTCACACACACACACACACAGCAAAGTCATATTAGATAAAATGCGTGAAAAGTGTTGCCTAAAGACGATTGGCAGCACCACACATGTCCTACTATAGCATCTGGTATTATACTATTCCCATTCAGGAACCAACCAGACCCCGACAGATTTCAGTTTTTGAATGTCTAAACCAGAAGTTTCAAGATTTGGCCAAACAGTGCTCTGGTCTCTGTAAGAAATAAAAAACAATCAATTGTCATACTTTGGCTTCAATACCTCCCAATACTTGACATGAACTTTTAGGGACAGAATGTAGTACTTTTCTCCCCTCAAATCAAGTCAGTCCACTTGTGCTGACTCTTTAACATTTGTGGACATTTATCAACATGGACATTGGTCAACTCCCTATGGACCAATAATATATTTTTTGTGTTTTACTTTTGATGTTGATTCTCTGATTTGTGTTAGTATGGTTTTGTTAAGTCCTCTGAGATGACTACTGTTGTGATTTAGGGCTATACAAGAATAAATGGAATTGCAATTAATTGAATTGCTGTTGCTCCAGTAAATAAAAGTGAAAACTACTGATATTAATGGCAGTGAACTAGCCTGGTCGTACCACACCATAGTACAAATTACATTTCGTACTAAGGTCTGGAGATGCTCCATTGAGCTCCTTTAACAGGTGGGACTGGTTTACTCCTTTTGCAGATTGAAACGATTGGATCTGAGTTTACTTATATAATTTTGCTTCTGGAATGCGGCCTAGTGAGTCGTTAGCATTTAGCATAGCCATCTCCTTTGCCGCTAACAGAGCCCATGGAGAGTAGCGCCACAATCTTTGCCAGCAATGACTTTTGCTATACATCCCTCTTGCTCCGGCTTCCATTTCTTGATAGAACCAGACTGGAATACTTTACTATCGCATTCTTCGCCATTGCCAAACTACAACCAGTGGCTGAGTGGTGGCTGAGTGGTTAGCACTCTCGCTTCTCAGCAAGAAGGTCCTAGGTTCGAATCCCGGTCGCACTCAGGGCCTTTCTGAGTGCAGTTGGCATTTTCTCCCCGTGTCTGTGTAGGTTTCCTCCGGGTACTCCTGTTTCCTCTACCACTAAAAGCATGTACTGTACAATAGGTCTGGCATGCGCCTCCTGTGCGACCCCGCTCCCATCTCTGTGTCGAGTGCGAGACAAATGCCCAAAAAAAAACTTTGTAAAATGCTTTGTGACTCTGGTCTGTGAAATGCAGTATATAAATAAAGATTACTTACTTACTTACTTAGCCCGTTCGGCGCAAACTCTTGACGTCACCCACATCTGACTACAGCTCCCACCTCCCGCGCTAGCTGATTGGTCGGATGGAATCCAACGGATGTAATCGCAAACACAGGGACCAGACCCAGACATTACGTGCAATTGAGCGGAGTGTACAGAGAGATAAGGCCAGGCTAGCAGTAAACAGATTTATACATAAAAAATAAAGGCCTATTCAAGATGCCAAATGAACCATTTTTATCAAACCCATACCCGAGCCAACAAGATGTCCAATATCAGCACCAAGGACTGATCCCAGAATTATATTCAAAAAATGTTCTCTCAAATGTATGTCAAATATAGTCCATCACAAAGTTCTGCGACAGGCTTCTGGACGTATGACAAAGTTCTTAACTGATGACAAACAAAAACATCATGCAAACCAAGGATGTGCGACAGAACAGCGCTGACTTGCTTGGCCACCTGCGGGACCGGCCCAGTGGCACAATCTGGACAGCAGCCCGTTCGGAGTCTGTGTGCCTGGGATGGGGAGTGGGGGGAACAGGCTGTGTACTGCTTCTCACTCAGTCATGTAGAGTCCAGACCCTCTGCACCACGGGAGACGGAGCCCACGACAGAGTGAGGCTGTCCAAGTCATCCAAGCACACGCACTAAAGCGCTCCGTCGCCACGTGTCGGGACGTTGCGGCCATCAGCAGAAAGAAAAGTTGGTGATACATTGGCTCGAGAAAGGGAAAGGCACTTGTGTTGTGTTTCCATGATATGGGGAATGGAGGGAAATGTAATACAGTGAATGGATTAAATATTGTTCATTGATAGTAATCAATATCTCATATAGGGGATGTATTGTAAAGGTTTTTGATTGGGTCGACAGATCAATGTCCATTGAGTTATGCATGTTTGAGTAATAGGCCTACGTTTGATTGCTCAAAGAAAGAAAAAAAAAATCCAGGTTAGATAAACGGTTTAACATGTACACCCTGTTCAGTTTTAAATAGGTAGAAAAAGATCAATATTGCTACATGGTATGGACAACATGTAAGAATGATCATGCATGTTGTAGTTTTTGATTACATATTCAATTACTCGATAGTCCCAAGATATATCTCCCTACAAGATGCACTGTATTTTTTCAATGGAAAATAAGGTGAAGTTAAGATGAAGTATATGGTACATGTTGTTGCCCCCAAATGTCAGTTGTGCATTTCACTCTTACTTTTAATCCATCTCCAGCTTGGCCCCTTCCTCTTCATGCTCTCTAGGCGACAGTGGCTCAGTTGGTAGAGCATTGGCCTTTGAGCCCGAAGGTCGTGGTTTCGAGCCCACCACGAGATCTTCTCCACCGACTACCACTGATGTCTGCTGCCGTTGTGTCCTTGGGCAAGACACTTTGCCCATAAGGAGTGCGAAAGTGATGTTCGCTGCTTACCTTGATGTGTATTTGTATAAGTGCATGTATATGTAATGTGTGTGTATCGAACTGAAATTTCCCCATTGTGGGATGAATAAAGAACCTTCTTCTCAAAATTATAATTGAATGCGAGCGCATTTATAGTGTCCCACTTTCAAAACAGGGGCTATATTGTTGTAATCAGGTACGAAGAGTTCAGCAACAACATAACAGTTGATGATTTTAAATGCCTTCCCCTACCTTATGATATGATGACATGCCATTTGCTTGACAGCCTTATAAACTATTTCTATTCACTCCACATTTGCTGGTGGCAGACTTGTCCATTTACATTGCAGTAAGCGGGCCTTTGTGGACTTTGAGTATTCCCCTGATGTCTTCATACACTAATCAAAGTAAACATAAAGCTCCAGATATGATTCCTTCCCTTTCTAATATGCAGTACTGGGCCTTCACGATAAGCCTCGACTGCATATTACCAGTGACAGATGGGTCAAATGCAGAGCACAAATTAAAGTTGATGAAGTCGGTAAATCGTCTTCATCTTGTATCTTGTTCCGTGTACATGCCTCTAAGCAGCCGTCCTTCAGGAATGTGGGCGTGATCCCCCCTAATCGTTCATCATGAGTGCCTTTAAAAGTGAAGTGAAAGCTGCTTTTATTAATCACAAAGAGCTCAAGTCAAGGCTCCGCACTCCGTCGCTTGCATCCAATTTACAGCGGCAATAATTCATGCTATGCTAAACATTTCTTGTAAAATGTCACTTTGTGTTTGTAATTAATTTCTAAATTAATAAGCAAAAATCTCCTGAGTTATGGGGATCAGTCTGCTCAGAACCTTGGTGGCATTGACGATGCATCACCCGGAAAGGAGGAGGCCAAGGGGTCTAAAGGGGCGGAGGGGAAGGGGTTTAAAGGCACTGTCTGCTTTTATTGTCTTAGAAAATGCCAACATATAAATGTCTTCATTGTAAACTACTTGCATTAGTAGTTGGATATTGTGTAGTACTGCAATGAGTGTCCATACTTGTATGCGGAAGCCAGATCCTGTCAGAACTGTAAGTCTGTGCAGGCCAGGGCTAGGTTAGTGCTACGATGGGAGACCTTTCAGAACCCCAGGCGCCACAGCGGGGCAGCTACAGCTGAAAGAGTGGTGAGTCTGTGAATGGAAAATATATAGATAGCTTCTTTATTGATCCCTGTAGGAGAAATGCAGGTGTCCGGTAGCAGCAAAATACATCCATCCACACAAACAAAACAAATGAATTGATCATTCTTAAAAGCTAAAGCTAAAAGCTTCGGGTCACAGCTGCAGATGTGCAGCCGTTTGGATAAGACCATTTTCTCTGCCCTAGTCCACAGTAAAATGCTAAATGCTTTATTTTTCAAAAAGTTAGCATTCCTCCATTGGATTTTTGCCGGATCCGCCGAGGTCAGACCATGAATCCTCTCCGCTCTGATCTGGCCATGAATACTGTACTGCAGGAACATCTCAGGTAGTAGCTGCAGTAGCTCAGTTGGTAGAGCGTTGGCCTTTGAGCCAGAAGGTCGTGGGTTCAAGC